TTTAGGTCACCTCTGGGAAGTGGGGGTCAGAAGGGTATTTCACTTGTCACTTTATTCTGTTCTTCAGTGTTTGCATTTTTTTAGCAACATATATCAAGTTAATGAATTAAAAACTGAGGAGGGATGAGTTTCTTACTGTGTGGGTTAGATGGAAGGCTTCAGACTCTCAGAACCTGCGTTTTCTCATCTGTAAGATCGACTTTGGAGGGCTACTGTGAGCGTTATGAATTACTCATGTCAAACATCTTGCAGAGTGCCTCTACATAGTAGGCACTAAATAAATAATAGTTGTTTACATTATTAATCAAAATGTAGGATACGCTCTGTATGTGAATTTACTCCCCCTGAAACGTGCAGAGGAAATAGATGTAGTGTCTTTATTTCTCAATAACTGATCTGTTCTTCCACATGAGCTCCCCATGGGGGAAAATGGATCTTTGAGCCGGGAAACTTAGTTTGATTCAATAATTTAAACCCACAGCCAGTGTTTAAACCCCTTTCGGTGAGGGCTGTCTCTTTAGATTTAAACACCTAGACTCTCAGATCACTGCTGCCTGCACCCCTGGGGAGATGGTGTCAGATTTAGCAAACAAAAATACAGGACATGCAGTTCCCTTTAATTTCAGGCAAACAGCAAGTAATTTTTTTTAGTGGTAAGTCCCAAATAATGCGTGGGACATATTTATACAAATATATATTTATATACTGTAGTGTTTATCTGAAATGCCCACGTGATTGAATATCCTATCTGTGGGTCAATGGTGGAGGGGGCATAGGGGGGAGAGGGAATAAGGTCCCAGGGCCTCCCGGACTTTGGATGTGCATTAGACAGTGTCTGGGTCCAGTCCCTGGGCAGTGGACAGGCTCTGAGTTCCGTGGCTGGTGCGACCCACAGGCTGTGTCTCAGCTCAGCCAGGGTCTGGGGTCTGAAGCCCCTTTGTTTTTCTGGCACATCCTCTTTGGGCCCTGGACTGGGACCACTCTTTAGCCACTGCAGTGGGGTCTTTAAGCCTGACTACGGTGGGATCTGTGCCAGGTTTTGTGGCTCTCAATTGAGCCACTTGGTCTATGGCCCCAGAGAAGCACACAGAAGGTACGATGACCCCAAGGAAGCTGAACTCCAGCCATCCCTCTCCCCAGACAGTCCATGTTCGCCTCCGGCTCAGATGTGGCCCATCTCTGTGAGCTCATAGCGTCCCAGAGTCCCCAGCCTGAAGCAGAGAGCAGGAAACAACCCGACGACCATGTCCCTGTGATGGCCCCTTCTCTGCCCACCCGCTTCCCACCTGCCTTCATTGTCCCCAGTCCCCCAGGATCACAGGGCTCCTTCCTGGACGCTCTGCGATCACCACTCAGCACTCACTCCGTGAACATGTAGTCAAGTACCCACTATATCCTGAGTACCATCCAGGTGCTAGAAATAACGGCAGGAAGACGGCGTCCCATTTTGTCCCTATAAATTCCAGAGCTTACACTGTGGTGCAGTTGAACACGCGGACAGTGAGCAAATTCTGAAAATTTCTGTTATAAGGACCCAACTTTACAGAATGTGACAGTGACCTCTCTCAAGGGGAAGAAAACAGGGACATGTAGGGGCTGGTGGCATGGTCATGAGAGGTGCTCTTTCCCATTGGGTGGCTGGAGAAGGCATTTGAGCAGAGACTTCAACGAAGAAAAAAGCCATGCCAGCGTCTGGGGGCAGAGAGAATGATACGCGTCCTTCAGAATCTGCAGAAGTCCAGTGGATTCGCAGAGCGGGCAGAGAGGAGATCAGAAAGGTGGCCCACCTCATAGTCTACTTTCAAAATGATGTAAAAATAATTTGGGAAGCCCCTTGTGCTTTCTGGACTCTCTTCTTGCTCACGAGAATAAGGCTGTTGACCATGGACCGAAGCCAAGGAAGTCTGTGCCTTCCCTCACACCGCGGGGCCCCGGGCTTCCTGGCAGCCTGGAGCTGGGAAGCCGCAAGCACGGTTCCGGGGGAGACGGACGCACGGGCGAAAGTCTACAACATAGCCCTGCTGTGGTCGCGAGTGTCTACCAGGTGTTCCAAGAGGCCGGCGGAGGGGATGGCTTCTCTCGCAGGAAGCCGTCCAGGATTGGCCGCTTGAGCCGTTCACTCGAACTCCGCGCACGGCGTGTGATTTGTGTCGGTGCAAGGACCGTGGAGCGGGGAGGGGGTGAACCAAGTCAGGCTCTGTAAAATGATGTGAATGCGTTTCTGCAGCGGGAACATAGGGAGTTTTCATCGGGCCCCTTGTGATGAACGAGGGCCCAGAGGAAGACAGACAGCCTGCAGTACAAGGGCCGGTCCGGGACCGCACGTGTGCAAGCTGTAAGGAAGGCCGGGGTTCTCTCCTGCTTCGTCTACACTAACAACCTTCTTTCTGTTTCTTGTCTGGCTCCCCCTCCCTACCTGCCCAGGTCCTGGAGTCCCCACGGTGACCGTGCACAACACAACGGATAAGAAAAGTAAGTGTCTTTTGCTCTTTTCTGGAACCTTCCCGTGCCGTGGCAGAGAGGAGGCTGAGCCTTGTGAAAGAGTCCAGCCCACGGAGTCCTGTCTGGAGACCCAGAGATGGGGATGTCCTCACAGTTCAGAGTGACCCCCACGGCTGGCAGTATCGATCAAATGTCAGAGCCACGCAGACAGAAGGTGCCCCCGCCCCACGAGTGCTGAGGCCCGGAGGCCACCGCGACCATGCAGGACCCCCGCGTGGGGCGCTGAACAGGGCCCACGGCCCCCAGCTCCTCAGTCTGGCCCTCCCGACCCTCCCCTCCTCTTAGAACCTCCCACTGGGGGCCAAGGCTCCATGGGTGCTTTGAGACTCACCTGCCCTTGTGGCCGGGGGACACCCTCACAGCACGGAGGGGCTTCATGTGCATGCCGCTGCAGGGACGAAACTTTCCGGAGCCTCTTGAGGACCTCCCAGCACATTTTTGCTTGAGGGGACCCCGTGCAGGTCGACACGCACATGCAGAGGTCTGTGCCCTTCTTGGCCTTACTTCTTGACCTTCCTGTCCCCAAGGAACCCTACTGCCTCCTTCCTC